TGTGCTGACAAAGAACATGTTGACAGGAGGAGAGATGAGGGTTGAGCATATCAGTGAGCTTGTGCTGCATCTTTACTGTCCAGTCACAAGCTGGGGGCATGGGCATGACCAGCTCTGAATTGCATAACTGCAGTAGAGAGAAGTCAGGCCACCAGCCTTGCTTTGCTCTCTGGCATGCAGGGTCGTGTAAATCTCAGGACTGGCTGGACAGATTGAAAAACCGCTCCGATGATTGCATTTTACCTGTGTATTTAGCTGTTTACATGCAGTTTGGATTTCAAGAAGATATTAACCTGAGCTAAGAATGCTTGGATATATAGCAGATAATTAACTATATTTTTGCCAAGTCTATCTATATAGCATCATCTTACAAAGTTTACTCTTGGTGCTACCCTTTTTAGCATTTCTTGGCAGCGTCCTTGAACAAGCACTGTAATTCTTTTCTGAATGTGTATGAGACATGCTCATTATTGAAAACATTGAAAATACATCATTGGATTTTGGAGATCAGTGTCTACAGGTATTGCTCTGTCACTAATAATAATTAAATGATAGGCCTTTATACATAGGCTTGTAGAACATGTACATTTATCTAAGAATTAAAACCCTGAGTGAAGAACATATTGTATATAGAGTGACAGACAAGAATTGCTTGCTTTTACGCTTCACTATAAGATGAACTCTGGCTAGGGTTGAAGGTTCCTTGCCTTCTTCCTTAGTCATTTAAATTGCATTGAGTTGTTCCATTCCATAGCACTGACTCAGGCTGCAGGCATTGACAGATAGCTGTAGTGACAGAATTCTCAGTTGCTTCAAATGTAGCTCAGCAGCTAACAGATGTACCTTTATGTAGAAAGCTATAATTCTGTGCATGGCGATGAAGGTCAAACTATAAAAGTAGCTTTAAAATGAATCTGCATGAATGTATTTCATTCACACTTCTATCCTTTGGCACAGTTAGTGCCTCCAAATGCTACTGTGCAGTGCAAATATACATATCCTACTCCCTGTTACAATCTTTCACAGTGTTCACTGGTGTTACAATGAATAACAGGGAGGTGGAGAGCTGTTTACAGTCTATTTTACATCCGACCCTGGTGTCAGACTGAGTTTCCTGTGGAGAAAATTTTGAATTTTTAGGCAGGTCTAATACAAAATTAAGAAAACCTGCAATGTGAGTCGTGGAAATGTGCACATGTATACATAATCACTGCACTTCTTCATTAGTTGAATCATATATTGGCTTCTATGTCCTGGGGATCCCAGTGGTGAAACACTATCACTAGATTTCCCAGAACCAAATAGCTGCCATGACCGTTAAAAAGCCAAACGATGGTGTCAGTCTATACAAAAAGACTCTCCATAAAGAAGGACAAATGACTTACTTGTCTAGTTGCAAGTGATACAATACATGGCATAATGGTAAGTGGCAGGGACACTGTAGGGAGATCTGCCCCATGGGGTCCCCAGGAGAAATAAGCCAGTGTGTGAGCAAATCATCTAGTACAACCCAGAACTAATATATCTGTCTTGGGTGGACTTGACATTTGAGCTTCTAAAGCAAATTGCAAGGTTGTGTGTAAGATGCTTCTCTTTTAGAGAAGATGATAGTGATTGAAAAGCATTAAGAGATGTTGTGTAGAGAGAGGCAATTATCTACAACTAGAAAAAAATCAGGCAGTGCTAAAGCAGGTAACAGGGTGCAGTTTTAGCAGTCAATGGCATTGTGACAAAATAGGTATACAGTTTTCTGTCAATTAGAGTATAATGCTATCAGTGAACTGGAAGTGCATGAGAGCCCAGGGAGGAAAACTATATATTGTATTGTGCTGAAGTAGTTAGACCAAAATATAAGCAGGTTTCATGAAATGTGATACTAGATGAATACTACACATCACTGCAGACCTCACTGTTACCTCTCAACTTCAAAGTACACCTGTCAGGACAACAGAATGTAGGCAGCCATTATTCTGAAAATGCTAGTTGTCTGGCTGCCTCTGGCTTCAATATTTTTGATTCACAGACCAATAAATAGCATGCTGTAAATAAGTGTCATAATTGCTTATCTCTACACAAGATCATATAGTTGTCAATGCAAAAGAAGGTAAAGACAAATCTCCCAATGGGTGGATTCCTGTTCTGGTGATAATTGTGTCAGAGGGGAACGTCCCTCACTTTTTGAAAAATTTCATCTCAACTCCTCATTCTTTACTCTATCTAAAACAAAACAAAAAGGTATGGGTTGAGATATATTTTAATATAATTATGCAGCCTTCTCCTTTACCTTTTATCTAGAATTGTTGATATCAAGGCACACAGAATATGTGACCAATGTTTGAGAACTAGCGATGTACATTGTCACTGTGGATAAAAACAAAGGTCTCCTTTCATAAGGTTGCCCCCTGGCTGTTTTTTTATTTTATCCCATACAACCTCTGTAACCTAAATGTGTGTTTGATGTAGATGTCGCTGTATATGCAGTGGAATTGAGAGGCTGTATTTAACAACATTAACAATATTTTAACAACAAAAATGGATAAGATGCATGGTAAATAATGTGTCTGACAACAATAACAACCTAACTCTGGACAAGTGGCTACATAGAGTACAGTTTGGATACATTCATGTGAACTGTATTGCCTCTGCAACCAGTGTTGTAATCCAAACACCTCTGCCAGACTGCACAGCCAAGATACCTCAAACCCCTTTGCAGTAGCAGAGAGGAACAACTTGGTCAATAGTACTGCGTATGCTTGACATTCCCTGTTGTGGTACAGGGAATAGCAGGAAGTGAAGACCAATTTACAATCAAGTTCATACAGTAACTGTATTTAAAAATACATTCAGTTATCTTTTAACTAATCCATATCTGGTGTTTTTTGTTTTTTTTTAATCTATGCATAATCTTGCCTTAATTATGTAGTTTGGTGGCCTTTCAGAGTGGTTTTCCAGATTTTTGATCTACTGCTTAATATTTATCTTTTTATTGATCAGTTGTAACGATGACTACATTGCTTCTGTCGGTCATCCAATGTGTCCAGATGGCTCTATAATGTCAAACCTTCCAAAATAAGATTTATGCGTATGTTATTGTAAATAAAGAGTCAGCTGTTTAGTAACGTGTTTGTAGCCTTGCAGTGAGCAGTGCTTACTACTCTGTGTTGTTATACTTAGTACAGACATAAGAACAAGAATATAAGCATGCTTTATCCTTAATTACTCGATGAAGCCTAGCAATATAATTCTTTTAGCAGACGTATCCTGGTATAGCATTCTTTGAATTCTGTGGGCAAGTCCCTCTATTCCTCTTGCTAATAATATGACTTTGGTGATCAAATGTCACATTGTTTTGCTTCTCTACATCCAGGGATATCTTTAATGGCTCTATGTGCTGTAATGCTTTACTAAATATTTACATTTTACAACCTTATCGCCTTGTATTTGTTTAGTAAAGGATACTTGTGTATTTAGTAATACTGTATTCTACAGTTTACATATGAAAACTATCTTGGATTCCTAGCAGTCCTTACAATTAGGAGTTCTGGGGTGTGCAGTCTGCCATATAAAGCAGACACTTCTCACAGTAAGGCTGCCAGTGTGAAGGGTTCATTGGAATCTAGAACATATCCTCTGTGCTTGAAGGCTGTTATTTTCAGATTGCAAGTCTATTTATCTGCTGCAATACTTAGCTGGAACTTACTGCAGTCACGCTAGGATTTTTGTGCTTGGAAGACAGCCCATGAAGTCATAAATCCCCCATTTATTTTTATCAAAGTATTTCTGCTTGTAAGTCACATGTCAACACCCACGGATGATATGTGATCTTTTGTAAGGTGAATGGCCGTTATGAAGTTCTACCAGTACGAATGTCTTTGCCATAGACCCCATAAAGTCATATTCATTTTATTGTATAATAACAGTATGCAGGGTTTTTTTATACACAGTTTAGATCTGTGTGCTTCCTAAAGTGATTAGCGTCTTAACAATGTGATTTAAAGCAACCTTATATAGGCAGAATGTCCATAAATTACTTTGTAAATTAAATACAAACATCCCAAAGTTCATCAGCAACTCTAAAACCTCTTACATCAGTTCTCCCCATGAAACTTACTCCTTACATCAGTTGTCACCATTAGAGTGCCTCCTTACATCAGTTGTCTTCATCAGAGAGCCTGAGGGCACTCCGATGGCAACGAATAATGTAAGGGTCACTCTGATGGGGGCAGCCAATGTAAGGGGGCACTCTGATGTGGGACAACTAATAAGTAATTATCCCCATTAGAGTGCCCCCTTACACTTGTTGTCCCTATGCTGCTGTCACATGTCTCATATGGAGATGGGAGGAGAAACTCTTTCGTTCTCCTTAAGGCCCCCGTTCACACCAGGTCGGTTCGATCGGGCGGGTTTCTCCGTGCTGAACTGCCGACATGTACGATCGCGTTTCAGCGCCCTTTTAAAATTTGTACAGAATCCGCGCTGAAACGCATCTGCCCTGGTGTGAATGGGGCCTTAATGCTGGGTGGGGAACAAAGCTGATGTCATTGGTTGCTGGGAATGCTGTGGTCCTATCAGCAAATGACAGAGGAGGAATGGGGACCTGAAGCGATCGCTGTCCAGATAGAAACGCTACTTGGTCCGTATCCAGACCACGGTTCGCCATTTAGGGACCCATGAGCTACACCAACATTTGAAGTGGCTGCTCGCTATAAATGACATATCTTATATGCTTTTCTCCCTTCATAGTAAATAAGATCTTTCTTATCTTTTATATGGAATTTGTACAATAGATCAGAGAAAGAATTGAATGTAATGTGAATTATTATTACTTTGGATACAGTGTGAATGTATTTTGATATGGAGATAACATTCCTTTTAAGTCATTATTTTTTAACACGATTTGTGAATCTGTCACTTCCCGGGATGTAATTGCTTATTTCTGCTGTTTTATTTGCATCTATGGCACATGTTAACTAAACTTTATTATTATTTTTTTTCCTCAGGTACCATCATTATGTCAGAAGACTTGCGAGATGCCTTGGATAACATGTACGATGCCAGAATCCCAAAACTCTGGTATAAGATTTCCTGGGATTCTGCCACCTTAGGTTTCTGGTTTACAGAACTGTTGGAAAGAAATATGCAGTTCAGGAGCTGGCTATTTGATGGGCGTCCCAATCAGTTCTGGATGACTGGATTTTTTAATCCACAGGTACTGTATCCCGCTGCGTTTTTGCTTTTAAACTGTATAATTTAAATAAGTTATGACACTTCTCTGTAATCTTCAGCATAGTCCCTTTATAGTCTGTGAACATTTTAACTGCAATAATCAAATGATTGGCACAAATGTATCAACTGATTGGTGTTCTTTGCAGTTTCACAGTATTTCTTGGATAGTTTATAAAACACCTCCAATGTTTTATACAGTGGAATACCTTTTAGGCCTGAACCATTTTCTATACATTTCAGTCTACTTTTTATTACCATATTATAATGCAATTGTCATCACAGTTTTCTTAATTCTTGAACAGGGTTTTCTGACTGCCATGAGACAAGAAACAACACGCATGAATTTATCAAAAGGCTGGGCCTTAGACACTGTCATTTTACATAATGACGTCACAAGGATGATGAAAGAAGATGTCAATTCTCCTCCTCCAGCGGATATTGGTGGTGTCTACATATACGGATTGTTTCTTGATGGCGCTGGCTGGGATCGTAGAAACACAAAGCTTATGGAAGCTCAGCCAAAGGTAGAGCAATAGGGTGTGTGTGTGTGTGAGGTGGAGGGAATATATGGTTGACAAATTGCTGTTGTAGAGGTATAGGAGAGAAGATGGCTCATATATGGGTATCAAGGGGTGCTCATGCTGAAAAAAGGTCAAGATAATCCAGAAAATAGTGGTTTAAAGTAGTATTAAACTCTTAAACATTTTTCGATAATAAATCCAGATCAAACAAATATACATTGCCCAGCAAAGTATTTCTTTACATTTTAGCCCAAAAACATACAGTTGCCAAATTTAACAGCCAGATCCAACTCTTTTAGCTCCGCTTCCCTGAACTTCTTGTCCAGTTCAAGATCAGAGGGACACAGCAGTCTCCAGTAGTTGTGCCTCTGCTAGCTTGTAGAAGGGAGGAGAGGGGAGCAGGGGAGTGGTATGCCTTGCTGTGCCTGTGTGTTTGTGGAGACGCACAATTTACTGGCACACACAAGGGTGGCTCCATAGGACCCTGTAAGGATATCAGGGTCAGTGCTTAGGGGACCAGATGACTCTGCTGGAAACTAAAACTTTTAAACATCATGAAGCAGCATCCATTGTAAGTGATTTATTCAGCATTTGAAATAGCTTAAAAACCTTTTGACTTTAATATCACTTTAAATATAAAAATAACAACAGTGAAATCCTCTAATCCTTGAAGATAATTGTGTAGAATAACTGTTTAATGTTTTGTTTTACCTTACTCCTCTAAGGATGAGGACAGCTTACCACATTATACATACACTTCCTGGCACATAAACAGATTTCCAAGAATTATAACAGTAGGTGGCCCTGCCAGGCTCAAAGAAACTGGGCTGACATTTTTTAGCCAAGCAGTTGCAGTCACTGTTCATGTATTCTGACAGTACTGGACACCAGCTGTCAGAATACAATGTTCACAGTTGGAGATTGGTCCATACATGCTGTTTAGCATGAATTGAGGAATTTGGTAGATTTTTTTTTCTTCCAGCCCACAGGCTGAACGAAAACAAAATCTCCTAGTGTACGGCCAGCTTAATGCTCAGTATAACTTTTTGTAGTTTGCTATAATCAGTGAGATGCATGTTCATTTATTGTGTAACAAGGACTTCTAGTTAGTTAACTGCAGGTATTGGCTTCAGTAGCCTACATAAAATCTAGAGAACAGGCAATTAAAACCGGTCTTGTCTACTTAATAAAGCAATGCAGAGAACAGTAAACATATGCAAAGTGCAGCAACCCATAGCAACCACTCTGGAATCCCATATTAACTGTTCTGCCCAAAGCCTAATTGGTATTTTCATTCTGCATTCCAGTTTGCATTTTTGAATAAGGCTGTTTAAAGGAAATTATTCATTTTCTATCTTTGCATGTATACTTTCACACTGGTGTGATTATGTGCCATTGTTAGAATCACTATGATAAATGTTCCTATAGTCTATACAGTCCTGCAGTCTGAAATATATTACATCCCTTTCCCAGGTATGCCTCACTCCCAGGAGTTCTGCCTGACCCCTTTATGTTCATATAAGTCAGTAATACATTGACAACATCACTCTGGAGAGTCATTTCAAGTGATTTTATTCAGCCAGTACCCAACAATGTGTTGGTCCCTGCAGACCTTGATGGCTACATAAAGGTCTCCAGGGACCAATGCAGGCTTGTGCTGGGTGAATAAAATCACTCGGAATGGTGCTCTGGAGTATTGCTGCCTCCTCAGTCTTTCAACATATTTTTCTTACTCAGGTCAAGTTTCCAGAAGCTTCTGTGGAGTTTGTAAATGTAAATCCATCATGTCCTGTGGTTTAGAAAGTCCCTGTCATACTACAATCAGTGTTATGTCAAGATGTTTCTTCTACATAATGTCTTTCATTGTACCTTAAATATTCTGTTTACATGGATATAAAGCTTCAAAGCCAATAATATAAGAGAAAGTCATGAGGACTGCACATAGAGCAAAAGGAACTTTTCTGGCAGCAAGTGTGTGTTATCAGGAACATTTCCTGAGGCAAATCTAAATATGCTGTGTACATGAATATAAATCATCAAAGGCCATATTATAATAAAAAGGCATGAAGACTGCACATAGAGGAAAGGAACTTTTCTGGCAGCAAGTGTGTGTTATCAGGAACATTTCCTGGGGCAAATCTTTTCGGCATTGAGCTGCTTCTGGAATGAATGCTTTTGGCAGTACCACATAATTCATTCTTGGGAGTCTAAGACTTTATCATGTGGTGACAGCAGTGTACTTTTTGTTGAATAACTCACAAATCCAGGTGAATTTACGTAAAAAAGTATTTTTTTTAGGGATTTCAGTTTTCTGGTAGATACATAACAAAAAAAAAACAAATGTTAGCATGAAACAACTGATGTGAACACACAAACAGCCTAGCTGATTAATCGCTTCAAACCTGTACGCCGCCCCATCGACCAGAGCAATTTTTACAATATTGCTATGTGACCGTTTCTTCAACAATAACTCTTTTTATTACATAAAATAACATAGCAATAGATATATAGTTTTTTAAAAAGCCTTTCTTTTGGTGATATTAAATTTACTTTTTATGCAATTCATAGACAAAAATTGTAATAAAAAATAGTGTTATTGTAGATATAACATATTTATATATATATATGTATATTTATATTTTATAATTTGTCCTTTTTATTTTGTTTAAAATTACACTAACATTTTTATTCTGGTACAAATCATTGCAATGTTATTAACAAATGTGCTTTTTTCAATGGTGTGCTTATTTTAATGCAACACTAAAAATAATAATGAACAAAATGAATAGAAATGGAAAAAAACCCATTAAATATGAATAATTAGAACATAGAAAAAAATAGAAAAAAAATCAGCAGGAAAATAATATACAGTATAGGGGAAAAGGTGAAGAAAAATTCATTAGGAATGATAATTGTAGGTTAATAAGCGGGTGAATAGAAAAAAATATTAAGATATGTTGTTTTTAAAAAAAAAACTTTTTATGCTGATTTAACGGACATCATATGCAGATCAAAGCTCATCCCTTTGATCTACAAATTAATGAAACTGGTTAAATACAAGGAGGTTTGCCAGCAGCAGGGCTAGAAGAAATTCTGTTTGTTTGGGCATGTCTGGTAGCACACTCAGTGTCTACAACTGATAAATACCTTTGTAAACCACAACACTTAACAAATTGCACATTCCATGAATATAGTATTGTTATTAATAGTAGTAATATAGTATTAGGAAATGAGACAAGAATGCCACAAAAAACATGGGTGCGAGACAGAAGAGGCACCCAGATGAAAGAATGGAAGTAACTGCGTTTTTTCAATTTAGACTTTTATTCCATGAAACATATACGTAACTAACACCGTCTTTAGATCGGTGTCACTTTGAGGTGGTAGATTTCGTTATGATGTATCGCAAAGTGTTTGGATACTCCATGTTTCAAGAATCCTTTTCTTAATGTTTCACCTATGCTGTCCGATTCTGTCTCTTAGTTTTGTGCGACCTACATATTGTAAACCGCAGGGGCACTCTAGTAGATATCTGATTCACAAGTTATTTGAGATTATATTGTGTAGGTTTCACATGTATTAGTGGACGTGAACTCTTTTTGTTTGTTGCTGATGAGATTGCACGTCATCTTGGGTGTAAGCATTTGTAGCTTCCTATCGAAGTTTGATTAAGGAGGTATTTTTGTTTGGGTGTATCCTTGTTGTTTTTGTATTCAAGTCTGCTGGAAGCTAGGATGTTTTTTATTGTTCTAGCTTGGCTGTTTTTTTTATTGTTCTAGCTTGGGTAAGGGTGGTATCGAGGCTTTTAGGTAGGGTCTACCCTAGTAAAATGTGGCAGTGACGTTTTAGTGTATCTTTTTCTTTTTACTGTACTCAGTGGTGTATCTCGTGATGAAATTGCATCTTTCATTGTTGAGTTTGGAATGATCTCTTGTTTTTTGGGAAGAACAGGTCTTCTCTTTTGAGTTTTAGTGCTTTCTTTTTGGAGTCTTCTATACGTTTAGTTTTCATCCACATTCACAGCAGGTCTGTTTGACACGCTATTACAGTGTGTGTTTGTTTGGCAGGGCATGGGGCATGGGTAAGAGGTGTACTAACTGAGTGCTCAAGCTTGTTGGGGTTGTGTAATGTAGACTGCAACCTCATTTGTCGCTGCCAGTTCAGAATCCAGGGCCTATATTAACGGCCATGAATTGTATTCGGGTATAGCCGTTCTGTAGGTAGAGTATACAGATGGTGGTAATATAGCATTTACATCGTCCATCATTAGTACATATTTTAAGCAGGTTAATAGGTTTGCTTTTATTTTTCATTTTGCTTTGATTGTCCAAAGACCTACATGAAGATTTTATATGTTTTAACTTTAACAGAAGACTTCAGAGCTGGTTTGTCACCTGTGAACTTCAGAACACATCTAATGTTTGAAAATCAGTTAAAGGAGCATTAGCAAAATGTCATATTGAAGAGCTTAAGCCTGCTTATGATTCACTACATTTGGCGGGTGTGTGTTAAAGTTAGAAGCGGTTGTAACAGCTGTTCACGAATTGATATTTAAACTGCAATCTTATTGCAGAGAGCTACACTTGGTATTGTGCCCAAGCACACTAGAGTTTTATATAGAAAAAGCCTTGCAGGATAGTTGTTGCCATTTATTTTTGTGTAATGTCTCTACATAATGTAGTATAACAATTTCAGGTCAGTGTCAGAACATACAGTATTTCTGTGTTCAGTGCTTCATTTTGTATGTCAAACATTTTGAAACTCAGGAGTTAAATCTTACAAAATGCATTCAAGTACCTTAACATTTTTTAAAAATGTATCTTATTTGTGTATCACTCAGCTGTAGACTCCCAAACCATCTGTGACTTGGTGCTGACACTGTCCTACCTTCTGGAGGGTGGCTACTTTTGTTCCCCATAGTGCCTGTGTGTGTTGTAAAGTAGCCACCGCTCTAAGATCACTCCCATTGATGGACGACAGTCTCAATACAAATTAGTAAACTA